GCTGCTACTTGCGTGGAAGAGACTGCCAAGTATAAAACTTTAAAAATTATCAATTTTCTGTTCACTGGGTTTGTTTCCTGTCTCTCACCAGCCAGGTGGAATTCCTCTGCTAACAGCACCAGCAGATTCCCTGGGCTCTCTACCTCAGACTCTTCTGTGCCCAGTCTTACTTATTCTCAACTCTGAATTATTGTTTGTGTTTAATATCGGGTATTTAGTCTAAGTATTCCCTGCCTCCTATGAGAGGATATTGTAGAAAGGTCTTCTCCACCCAACATGAAATGACTTTTGGTTTGCTCATGACCAATTTCCTGACTAAAGAAAGCAAACCCATCCTTGGCTAAGTACACAGTCCAAATGCTTATCTAAGACAGTCAGATTGGAATAAATGTTAGGGAGTAGATCTCGCTTCTCTACTGATGAACTGTGCCACATAAATCAACTGGACTTGTTAATGAATTGTTAAAGTTTCCCTCAAAAATAGTTCAGGATTTAATCCATCAACCCATTCAGTCACCTAACCAGGCCCATCCCTAATAGTTGCAGGGTCAATGAAAAGAGTATAATGGAAACTGACATACCTGCATATGCATTTAGAGTTATAATTCAAGAAAATAAACTTTGAAATGCAATAAATTCCTCCTCACTTGATGAATATGCTTGGCAAGTGATTCAAAAGGCCAGGTACGATTTTGGAATTCTTAATCACTGAGAAGGTCTTCTCTGGCATGTAATGGGATGCGAATAAACAATTCTATCTTTCTTGCTTTCTCCTCACCCCTGCCTCCATGCTGTTCATGACTGGCCTCCTTTGTATGTATGTGGATGTGTTGGGGAATAGTAAATTGGTACGGCCAGCCAACTTACTTGCAGCCGCTTGCAGGCGGCTTGCTTAACAGTTCCAGCAGTTGTAACCTTTTCATTGCATGCCTGGCGGCACTATGCGGCTAGCCTGAGGTTAAATTGCAACTTAGTTCTCATAGCGCTGGTTCCTGTTTTGTTCTTGCTGTGTTCCTGTTTTCCACCAGTATGCACCTGTTATCCTGTTGTTTGGACACTATTTTTAGCATATGTGCTATGATATATAAGCTTAGAGGTTCTGTTAGTGGGGGAGAGTAAAGAGAGAGTCAATCAGGAGTGTTAACACCTGATGAACAATAAAAGCTGAAAAGCCGATAAGCATCGTTTGTTCTTTTATCGCCCAAGAAACCTCGTCGCGGGCCCTGGGTTGAGTCTGCTGGCCAGACTCCCCGAGACGCTCGCGGCATGGATGTAAGCCCCAGATGCATATTCTAGCTCTACCTCCAACCTCACCATCCAGAAAACTGCAATCACTCCTTGGCTATAGGAGGGCATATACTTATGCCACCATCCACCCTTGGGAATGGTGAGAAGTATGTCCTAGAGAAGCAGAGAAGTCCTAGAAAAGTGCCTGCAACTGTGTTCAGGATTGTTTGTGCAAAGTTCTGAATGCAGAAACATGACTTGGTGAGGGTAGCAGGAGTGGAGAGTTCAACATAGCCATTTCATCATGGCATATCTGATGCTTTGCCTCATGACAGGAAGCATTAGAAAAGGGGTGGAGACAGAAGTTCTCTTGATTAGGGTCTAAAGCCAATATTACACCCAACAAACTGAGTGCCTACTCATCAAGTTATGTTTTCCATAAAATGTTTACAGCATGTGTATTTCAATGATATCCGAGGAAAAATCAAACCAACAAAAGGAAAAAAAAAGAAACACCAGGAAATGAAAGAGAGGAAAGCCTAGGCGGGAAGCATTCATTATCTGTTTAAACTCACCTTTATGGAACAATTTAGTTACAATGAGATTAACGTGAAACCAGAAGCTTGTGCAGTCCAGTATAGTAACTGCTAGCCAAGTCTGAGAACGCACAGTGGCAAAGAGGCAGTTCCTTCAATAAAGGGTGTTGGGAAAATTACATGTCCACATATAGAAAAATGGAATTGGGTCCTTGATATATAAAAATCGATTGAAGATGCATTTAAGGCTTAAACATAAGACCAGATAATATAGAACTACTGGAAGAAAAGTTAAAGGAAACACCACATAAAAGTGATCTGGGAGATGACTTCTGATTTGTTCCCAAAAGCACAGGCAACAAAAGTAAAAATAGACAAATTAGATCACATCAAACTAAAAAACTTCTGAACAAAAAAAGAAGCAATTTATGGCATGAAGAGACCAACTACATATTGGAAGAAAATATCTGCATGTCATATATCTGATAAGGAGTTAATATCCAAAATATATAAAATTCATGCAAGTCAGTAGCCAAGAAAAAAATAAGGGGCAGGAGTTGGGCATTTGTCACAATAAGATGCCACTAGTAATGCCCACATCCCATATCTGAGTTCCCAAGTTTGAATTCCAGCTCTGTTCACAATTCCAGCTTCCTGCCAGTGAGCACCCTAGGAGGTAGCAATGATGACACAAGTATTTGGATCCCTGACACTGACATGGGAGATCTGGTTTCAGTTCTGAGCTCCTGGTCCAGTTCTGTGGGCTTCTGGTAGTGAACCAGAGAATGGAAGCACTCTGTAGCAACCTCTCTCTCTCTCTCTCTCTCCTGCCCTCTCTGTCTCTGACTTTTCAAATAAAAACAAATGTTTTCAAATATTTAAAAAAATAAAAAACACATAAAGTATCTGAATAAACATTTTTCAAAGGAAGATGTACAAATGGCCAACAGATATATTCAAAAATTGCTCTCTAACATCACTAATCATTAAGTTAATACAAATTAAAATCATAATGAGACATCACCTCACATCTGAATGGCTATTATCCAAAAGATGAAAGCCAAGTTTTGGTAAGAATGTGGAGAAAAAAAAAAAAAAAACCCTTGTACACTTTTAGTGAGAATGGACATTAGTACAACCATTAAGGAAAACTAAATGGAGTTTCTCCAATACACTAAAACTATAGTTACCAAGTGATCCAATAATACCACTTCTGGACCTATATCTGAGGATATGAAATCAGAATTTTGAAGAGCTATCTGCATCCCCATGCTAACTGCACTGCTGTTCATAATAGCCCAGTTACGCAAGAGACCTAAGTATCCATCAATGGATGAATAAAGGAAATATGGGTTATGGACACAAAGAAACACCATTCACACTTTCACAGAAAGATAACCCTGTCATTTGTGACAACACAGATGAATCTGGAGGACATTAGGGTAAGTGAAATAAGCCAGACCCAGAAAGACAAATATGCTATGTGTTCACTTAGATGTAGAATCTAAAGCCATTGAGCAAATAGAACCACAGAGTTAAAATATAGTTTCCAGAGTCTGGGAGGATGGAGAGATGATGAAAAAAGTTTTAAAAAGTTCCATTAGACAGGAGGAGTGAATTTTGTGAGATTTCTTGCACAGCATTGAAACTATAATTAAAAACAGTACCTTGTACGCATATCAAATACCACTTTGTGCCCCACAAATATGTACAATTATTATTTTTCAATTTACTGTACATTTTAGTGAATTAAACATAAAGATTGGGACCAGTGCTGTGGTGCAGTAGGTTAAGCCCCCACCTGCAGTGCTAGCATCCCATTTGGGCACCTGTTCATGTCCTGGCTGCTCCTCTTGTGATCCAGCTCTCTGCTATGGCCTGGGAAAGCGGTAGAAATGGACCAACTGTTTGGGTCCCTAAACCTGCCTGGGAGACCCAGAAGTTGTTCCTGGCTTTGGCTTATATCCGATATCCTCCTTAGATTCAATGGAGATTCACAGTCATGTGTCTTGTCACAGAAATGTAATGCACATTTTATATTTTCTTCAACCTGTAATTTTAGGTATAAATCTGTATACCCATGTATGAATTTTCTATTCCACTGAGTTCAGTGGTTATTTATTTTCAGCCTATTGTGTGTGAAATGGAGACTATTAACAACTATAGTAATACTGGTTAAGTTATTTAAGATCTAGTGTTTCTTATTTTAGATGAAAAGATAAGAAAATGATCACCTTAACAAATTAAGAACAAAATAAAATTTCAGAATACATTTAAACACAGTAAATATCATCAAGGGGTGATATATATAGTATTGTTGAGAGGACAAAAAGTCTTCCTGTTTGGAGGATGGAAACCCGTATGTTTCCCTCAACTTAGGGTTGCTGTGCAGGCAGCCAGTGAGTGCTGAAGCACTTTCACATGCTTTGTAGTTAACATCATCTGTGCCGGCCCTGGCTCAGCATCCATTAGCTGGAAGCAATGGGTATAATTGTTCTGAATCTAATCTGTAAAATGTAGGCAATGATGCTTAACTTGCAGTTTTCTAAATTATAAAACGAGGCCGGCGCCACGGCTCACTAGGCTAATCCTCCGCCTAGCGGCGCCGGCACACCAGGTTCTAGTCCCGGTTGGGGCGCCAGATTCTGTCCCGGTTGCCCCTCTTCCAGGCCAGCTCTCTGCCGTGGCCAGGGAGTGCAGTGGAGGATGGCCCAGGTGCTTGGGCCCTGCACCCCATGGGAGACCAGGAAAAGCACCTGGCTCCTGGCTCCTGGCTCCTGCCATCGGATCAGCGCGGTGCGCCGGCCGCAGCGCGCCGGCCGCGGCGGCCATTGGAGGGTGAACCAACGGCAAAGGAAGACCTTTCTCTCTCTCTCACTGTCCACTCTGCCTGTCAAATAAATAAATAAATTATAAAATGAAGATATTAATATGTACCCTATAGGGCTGGTTTAAGCATGAAATCAGATAATGCATGAAAATCATTTAGGCTGGTACTTAGAAAAATACTGGGTAGCAATATCTAATAAAAATATATTTAGAGCTATTATCTTGACATGTTAAAGGTATTTTAATTAATAAAAATAGAATGGGACAGAAATTGTGCAACTCAGAGGGTCAGGCTGGATTAAGGAAATATATGGGGGCCGGTGCTGTGGTGTAGTGGGTAAAGCCACTGCCTGCTGTGCCAGCATCCAATATGGGCACTGGTTCAAGTCTCAGCTGCTCCACTTCCAGTCCAGCTCTCTGCTATGGCCTGGGAAAGCAGTGGAAGATGGCCCAAGTAGTTGGAATCCCTGCACCCGCAAGCTCCTGGCTCCTGGCTTCAGATCGGCACAGCTCCAGCCATTGTGGCCAATTGGGGAGTGAACCAGCTGATGGAAACCTCTCTCTCCCTGTCTCTCTGCCTCTCCTTCTCTCTCTGTGTAACTCTTTCAAATAAATAAATAAATCATTTTAAAAAAAGTATATGTAGATGTGTGGAGGGATTGGGTAAAGTTGAAAATGTCCAGTTTAAAAGAGAAACTATGGTAAGAAATAATAGTTGAAAAGTAGATGAAGGGAAGATTTTGGCCTCAACTTTAAATGTCGGAGTAATGAATTCCTACTTTGGGTAGGGTTTATCATCAGGGAAGCAAAGACATAAAATCTATAAAAATCCAGGCTATGGCATTTGAACTTTTGGTTTAAGGAATGTTTTTAAACTGGGGACTTTTCCTTTAACTCACTAGTTAGAATCACAGATGTTTTATGCTTCTGCTTAATTACTCTATTTAACTGAGCATTAATTACTCTATTTCTACTTGGAGAGGAAACCCTTAGTTTAGTTTTAAATCTTATGCTAAAAAGGGAGACAGCTAATCAAGGAAAGGGTCTTAGGCTGGATTACCAAGTCACTCAGTTGGAAAGGAGCCTCAGGGAAGTGAAAGGGCACCCCAATCTCTCAAGGTCAATTAAATGCCACAGCGTTCCTCCAATGGATCCTTTCAGGCTCAGATGCTTCCAAATGAATAAGAGAAAGCTTAAGAAATGCATGGAATAGCTGTGGTTCACTCACCTGGAGCTTTCCTTTTAAGACAGCCCTGTAGCAATCATGAGTAGGTAGATTACAGCTGAAATATTTAAAACTGCAAAGCCCTTGAGAGGGCTTCAGGAACTGAGGTTGGCACTTTCTCATGCAAAGGGATTACTGACAGAGCAGGGGGCCAGTGCCAAGCACGGGGCAGGAAATTCTCTGGTGTTCACCCAACCCAGATGCCCTGGGGACCACACCTGAACCAGGGCCTGGAAGGGCAGTGACCCAAGTCTTTCATCCCTGTAGAATAAATTAACTGCTCTGCCTTGTCACATCACAGCGCTGTAGTTCAAGCAACCCATTTTTAATTGTCTCAAAATTCATATATTTCACATATTTTATAGCCATGTCAAAAATTTACTGAGAGTAAACTCCAGCCAATTACCTAAAAACTACACCTCAATCAGATTTTTTTTGATTCTCAAATCACTTTTTGTGCAATAATTCTTTTTAAAGAGTTATTTAAGGGGCTAGTGCTGTGGCATAGTAGGTAAAGCCACTGTGTGTAGTGCCAGCATCCCATATGGGTGTTGGTTCCAGTCCTGGCTGCTTCACTTCCAATCCAGCTCTCTGCTCTGGCCTGGGAAAGCAGTAGAAGATGGCCCAAGTGGTTGGGCCCCTGCACCTGCGTGGGAGACTCAGAAGAGGTTCCAGGCTCCCGGCTTCAGATCAGCTCAACTCCAGCCAATGTGGCTATTTGGGGAGTGAACCAATGGGTGAAAGACTCTACCTCTGCCTCTCTGTAACACTGCCTTTCAAATAAATACATAATTTTTTTTAAAAAGTTATTTAAGTAATTGATAATGTTGCATGCCTAATAAGGTAAATTATTTGCTGCACAAATTCTCAAATTACCATCAGTCTTCCATTGATGCTTGTTGTGGTTGTTTCCTGATTTCCTACCTAAAACTGGCCAGGAAAACTGAGTAATAACTCTCATGTGTACCTCAATGTTCAGCTTTTGCCAAATAATGCTGACTGGAGTGGACAAAGGAACAAAATGGTCCCAGAAAAAATAGATTGCTACATCAAGTTTTGAGAGCCTATAAAAATTCAAATATGAATTTTTAAAATAAATCTAATAATTCTCTATTACCATGTGTCTTCCCAATAATCTCATTTTGACATCTGATATGCTTAAAGAGATAGATACATTTAAAACAATTAAAAAGTTTTTCTTTTATGACGTATTTCCCACCTTTATTAACTTTTTAAATTAAATCTGGCTTCAAATTGTGATAAAGAATTCCAGAAATTATTTTATTAGGTCACAATGTACTCAGCATGGTTATAATTCCCCATTAAAATATTATTTACTTTTTAAAAAATAGTTTTCAGCCGGCGCCGTGGCTCAATAGGCTAATCCTCCACCTTGCGGCGCCGGCACACCGGGTTCTAGTCCCGGTTGGGGCGCCGGATTCTGTCCCGGTTGCCCCTCTTCCAGGCCAGCTCTCTGCTATGGCCAGGGAGTGCAGTGGAGGATGGCCCAGGTGCTTGGGCCCTGCACCCCATGGGAGACCAGGAAAAGCACCTGGCTCCTGGCTCCTGCCAGGATCAGCGCGGTGCGCCGGCTGCAGCGGCGGCCATTGGAGGCAGTTCCAACGACAAAGGAAGACCCTTCTCTCTGTCTCTCTCTCTCACTGTCCACTCTGCCTGTCAAAAAAAAAAAAAAGAAAAAAAAATTGATGGTTGAAAATATTGCTATGTCATTTTTTTGCGTTCAGTGCATATTGAAAATCCATCACTTACCTAACCTGATGGAACATTAAACTCAAAACTATTATTTGCATTCAAGCTACTAATTCTAATTAAATAATTCGCTTGGCTTCCATTTTCTTTGTGAGAGCTCCATTTTCATTGGATTTGCCAACAATGGGACTGGTAATTTTTGTGATCCTGGGCCTAAGTGATACAAGAGAGTGGTGTTAAAAAAGTAGTACGCAGGAGTGAGCATTTGACCAAGTGGTTAGAAATCCCCTTGAGACAGCTACTTGCTACAATGGAGTGAGGGAGTTTGAGTGTTGTTTCCATTTCTGTCTTCAGCTTCCTGCTAATGCAGACCCTGGGAAGCAGCAGGTGAGGGCTCAAGGAATTGGGTCCCTGCCACCCACACAGAACTGTGTTAGGTTTCTATCTCCTGGCTTTGTCCTCTGCCTCGCCCCAGCCAGTACCGAAATTTGGGGACTGAATCAAAAACTGGGAGCGCGCGCGCTCTCTCTGTATGTTTCTCTCTCAATGACTCTGCCTTTCAAAAGAATACACGAAAACTAAAAAATAGAAATATAAAAGGTGGAGAAAGTTATGTCTAAAATTATCAGGCTTTAAAGACACACTTCCTGTACATTCATCAGACACTTGGCTCCTAACACTACTACACCTTCCAGTCCAATCGGGACTGTCAGACTGACCAGCACCACCTCAACCAGCGCCAGTCCTGCCAGCTCAGAAGTGCTTCCTGGGAGACATGCAGGAGGGTGAGCAGCCCCCAGCCCCACTGCAGCTAGGGAGAGGGCGTGCGGAAGGAGGGTGAGTGGGTGAGCAGCCCCCACCCCCGCTGCGGCCTGTGGGGCGGTGCTGGGGGCAGAGCCAGGGGCAGGCACCTGCTAACCACATGACCAGGGCCATTGCATCCTGTACTGGTGCAGGAATCCAATTACAGCTGTGGCCAGTGCCCAGTCCCCCTGCCCAGGCCTGGCCACTATGTCCTGAAGACACACACACACACACACACACACGTATACACACACATACATGGACACACACGCACATACACATACATGGACATGCACATGCATGGACACACATGCATGCACACACATACACATACACGAACCCACATAGATACACACATACATGGACACATATATGCACACATATATACACACATACATGGAGACACACACACACACATGTATTTATTTGGCTTCCGATGCCCCCACCCCTGCCTCTGTTTGCCAAAGGCAGGAGCCCGGCAGCCCGAGCCTATGGGGACACCACCCTTGTCCCCTCCCCAGGAGCCCTGCAGTTTCTCCAAGCTCCACAAGGGGCCAGGGGTGGTGGTGGTGGTGTGTGGGGGGGTGTTCCAAGCCTCCTGGATGAATGCCCGCCCCATACCCCCAGCTGTCTGCCGGTTCTTCCTGGGGTCTGACTCGAGTCTCTCGTGCTTTCGAGGTTTTGTTTTCTCCCTCACTGGGTCTCTGGGGGAAGCTGAGAAAGTCGGCTCAGAGCCCCTTGGAAAAGCCACTCCCTTCAGTTAGGGGGGATTCACCTGTGCCCTCTCTTCTCACGTGGCTGATCTGAAATCCCACCGGCCCGGCCCTTGGGTGGGCACTCCTACAGCCACGTGCTGCCCCCGCCATGAACGGCCTCCCACCCTCACCGCTCACAACCCCTTACCTTGCTTTGGGACCCAATGACTTCCCCAGGGACTCTCTTTGTCTTGTGCACTACTGTGTCAAGGGTCCCTGCATACAGTCGGAGCTCAATAAGTAGCCCTTGGCTTCAGTTGCCACCAGGTTAGCCCTTCCTCCATGGCCAATACTGCTCTAAAGCAGAATTGTTAATTCGGGTTTGGTGTTAAAGAGGGAGTCGTGGGTGGGATTCTAACCCCGTGCCCCAGCCTGGGCTGGAGGAGGAAGAGTTGGGGATGGGGGCTTGAAGAGGGGAGTGAGCAGGTGCAAAGGCCCTGGGGTAGGATGGCGGGGGGAGAAGGAGTGGTGCAGGCTGGGCTTATAACCAGGGCAGCATCTTTGGGCCCCATTTGGCCACTCCTACTGGACAGCTGACCCCAGTCCCCAGGATTCGGCCCCACCCCCAGTCCTGGGTCCTCTCCAGGGCTGGGAGTTTGCCCCACGTGCTGCGGGCCCTGGACTAGAGTTCATGGGTGCGATCAGGTTGGGCGGGCAGGCTCCTTAATTAGCCCTGCCTGGCAGCCAGCCCTGCCTGCCTCGGTTTCCCTCCTGCCACCTCACCTGCTTGCTGCGGGCGAGGCCACAGCTCCAAGTCCCACCTGGGGACGACCCCAGGCCTCCTCCCGACCCGGGCTCTCCAGGAGCTGGGGAGGGGGAACCCTGAGAGTGCCTCGCTCTGGCTGTCCTCTCTCTCTCTCCTGCCACCCCACAGCGCTGCAGCGTGGCTGCATCCCTCACTTGCTGCCCCGCGGCGCTGGCCGCCTCCTCCGGCAGCCCTCCGGCCTTGGCGCTGGTGGCGGCGGGCGGCGGGCGGCGGCGACTCGGTCCCGGGTAGCCGGCGTCGGAGCTGTTGGCGTAGCTGCTGCACGCCGAGCCCTACCCGGCACCAGGCGGCGGAGACTCATTCCTGGGCAGCCCGCGTTGGAGCTGACGGCGCAGCCGCGGGTGCGGCAGGTGCGGGCGGAGGTGGCGCAGCGCTGGGCATGGACCACGCGTGGGAGCTTGCGGCGCGGCTGCTCTTAGCGCTGCCCCTGCACAAGACGCCACTGCTGGCCGCCGCCGGCCGAGCGCGCTGTGGCCTTCCCGGACCAGGAGCAAGTGGACAAGCTGGGCCGCCTGAAGGGCGAGTCCGGCCGCCTCAAGGCCATCGCGCTCTCGGACCCGGCGCGCACGGAGAGGCTGCAGAGCGCTCAGGTGGCGCTCACGTAGTAGTGCGCGCCCGGTACCCGACCCAGCCCCAGCGCGCCCAGCCCCAGCGCGCTCCCGGCGCCTCTCATCTCCGGCTCCACTTCCTACACTGGTGGGCAAGAAGCCCACCTAGACTCTCACCCGGGACTCGCTGCTGGAGGGCAGCACTTTCAACTGGCCCTAGGGCCCCGGCCGGTGAGCCGCCGCATTAAGACACTCTCTGCTCTGCTTTCCGTATCACAGATTGTACAGCACCTCGAAATAGTTTCCTTCAATGTGATGATCGGTCACAACCCAGAGAGGTTAATTGAAGAAGTGTGTAATCACGACCATACTCTTCCTTAGTAACATCAGGCAGATTTAGGCATCTCTACAATATATTAAATAATTTCCAGATATTTCCTAGGAACACTTTGCATTGTTTTATGGACTTCAAAATTTCATGGGAAATAGGAGTAGAAGATAAGTTTCTGTTGGTGCGTAACATTTGAAATATGAATTTTGGGGCCAGCGCTGTGGCTCAGCGGGTTAACACCCTAGCCTGAAGCACCGGCATCCCATATGGGCGCAGGTTCGAGGCCTGGCGGTTCCACTTCCCATCCAACTCTCTGCTATGGCCTGGGAAAGCAGTAGAGGACGGCCCAAGTACTTGGGCCACTGCACCCGCATGGGAGACCCAGAAGAAGCGCCTGGCTTCGGATCGCGGCAGCTCCGGCTGTTGTGGCCATCTGGAGAGTGAACCATCAGATGGAAGACTTCACTCTCTCTCTGCCTCTCCTCTCTCTGTGTAGCTCTGACTTTGAAATAAAATAAAATAAATCTTTGAAATATGTATTTTTTCATAATACATGTTTTCCATGAACTTTTTGAATAATCTATGTATATAGATTTCAACATGTTTTGAACCAAAATAAATTTAACTTTTAATTCCATTTCCACAATCTTTTTAAGGTACATTTATGTGAGTCAAACAAAAGGCTCGAGGAAATATATAAACATGTTTTTGAAAAATAGTGGAAATATGCCATAGATTCTGCTCTGCAAGGGTTTTTTTTTTTGCTTAATAATGTAAATATATTTTATAGCTAAACAGTATTATCTTCATATGGATTTACCATATACTATTTAATGAATACTGTACTGTTAGATATTTACTTACTTATTTATTTATTTGACAGGTAGAGTTAGAAAGTGAGAGAACAGAGAGAAAGGTCTTCCTTCCATTGGTTCACTCCCCAAATGGCTGCAATGGCCAGAGCTGCGCCGATCCGAAGCCAGGAGCCAGGAGTTTCTTCCTGGTCTCACATGCAGATGCAGGGGCCCAAGGACTTGGGCCATCTTCTACTGCTATCCCAGGCCACAGCAGAGAGCAACTGGGACTAGAACTGGTGCCCATATGGGATGCCGGTGCTGCAGGTGAAGGATTAACCTAGTGTGCCATGGTGCTGGCCCCTGATCCTGGATTTTTCTTTTTGGAAAAGTTTTAACTGCAAGTTGAGTTTCTTTAATAGATTTAAAGCTATTTATCTTACATATTTTTTGAGTGAGACTTCTTGGTTTGTGCCTTTCCAGGAATTTATTCATTTCATGAATTTTTTGAATTTATAGGCATAAAATTTATTATATTTCTTTAGTACCCTTCTACTATGTATAAAATTTGTAGTAATGTCACTTCTTTCACTCCTAACTTGGTAATTTGTCTTTTTCTTGTTTATCAGCCCAGTTAGTGGTTTCCAAGAAGTAGCTTTTATTTTACGGTTTTTCTGTTTTTAAAAGGTTTCTAATTGCTTTTTTTAAGATTTATTTTATTTATTTGAAAAAACAGAGTTACAAAGAGAGATAGAGACAGAGAGAGAGTTCTTCCATCCACTGGTTCACTCCCCAGATGGCCGCAACGGTTGGAGCTGCGCCGATCTGAAGCCAGGAGCCAGGAACTTCTTCCAGGTCTCCCATGTGGGTGCAGGGGCCCAAGGACTTAGGCCATCTTCTACTGCTATCCCAGGCCATAGCAGAGAGCTAGATTGGAAGAGGGGCAGCCGGGACTAGAACCGACACCCATATGGGATGCCGGCACTTCAGGCCAGGTTGTTAACCTACTATGCCACAGCGCTGGCCCCTCTAATTGATTTTTAAATATCTTCTTTGGCCAGAGTGCTGCTTAGGGCATCTGCCCTCACAATCAGCCCTTAAGGCATTTGGATCTGGCTAAAAAGCCCACGAGAGTTTCTCAGGCATGGAAAGCCAAGGGGGAAAAAAATGACCTAAATGAAAGATCTCTGTGAGTGAGATCCCAGCAGAAAGAATGGGCCATCAAAGAAGGTGGTACATTTCTCAGAAGGGAGGAGAGAGCTTCCACTTTGATTATGGCCTTGTCTAAATAAGGTCAGAGTTTGTGAACTCAAGAGGCTTCCATAGCCTTGGCAGCTCATGAAAAGAGCCTCGGGTGATTACTGGCATCATAAATAAGTGTGTCAATTTTTAAATCAACAACAGGAGTCACTGTGCACCTACTCCCCATGTAGGATCCCCAGAGAGACAGAGAGACAGAGAGAAAGGTCTTCCTTCCATTGGTTCACCCCCACAAATGGCCACTATGGCTGACGCGCTGCAGCCAACGTGCTGCCCCGATCCGAAGCCAGGAGCCAGGTGCAGGGCCTAAGCACTTGGGCCATCCTCCACTGCACTCCCGGGCCACAGCAGAGAGCTGGGCTGGAAGAGGAGCAACTGAGACAGAATCCAGCGCCCCAGCTGGGACTAGAACCCGGTGTGCCAGTGCCCCAGGCGGAGGATTAGCGAAGTGACCCGCGGCGCCAGCCCTTTTTAACATTCTTAACCCTGAAATCTGCTCTGTCTAGAATGACCATAATCTTTTTAACATTGTTTTCATTAATATGAAAATTGCAGCATGATATCTTTTCCTGTTCATTTACTTTGACTCCTTGCATTTGTTATTTCTAAAATAGATTTTTTAGGCAGTGATAGTTGATTCTCACTATGTTAGCTGATCCAAAAATTTCCATGTTTTAATTGAGTGTTTGGACCATTTAGATTTAATGCTATCATCAATGTTACCAACTAATACTACCTCCTCACTATTTGTTTTTTATTTGTCCCATTTTTTTCTTATTTTCATACTTTTTTCCCTTTTTGAGATAACTGAGTTTTCTAATTATTCCATTTTATAACTTGTTTTGCTTCTTAGTTATAGCACTCTGATTTATGACAAATAAGCAGGAGAAAAGATGTTCCATATACTGAGTAACTCAAACATTCAATTAATACTACAGGGAGATACCAATATATATGCTCACTAGAATGGGTAAAATGTAAAAAGAGGAAATTAACACATATTGGTATAGAGTGAACTAACTGGAACTCTCACAGGATTTTAAAATTTGTGCAACTACTTGAGAAAGCTGTTTGCAATTTTTTTTAGAAATCTTAATGTATGCTTACATCATGAACCAGCCAGTTAACAAAAAGAGCCAAAACCAGCCAGTGAAGAATTCCTCTGGCATCCCTGATTTTTTTTTTAAAACAAAAACCCCAGGCAAACCCACTTTCAATAACCATGAATTCCTTCTGTATTAAAAAAGGCTGAAATTTTACTTTTCCCAAATACACATATCAGATGTCTATGTGTTCCGCATCATTTTTGAGAATAAAATCTCAGATGTGGGGTGCTGCTTTCTATATCAAGGTATACTCTGCTTAATGTATAAGTAAATTTCAAAAATGAGAGGAACGGCAAATAGTCAAAAGAATAAGAGAGCAGGGGAGAAATTAAAAATATAAACAAAATGAGGAATCCAAATCATGACATGAAATAATAATTTAAAAAGGACCAGGGATTCAATTACATGAATTCCTCCCTAGGACACAAAGTCAAGAAAGTAACATGATAAATTTATTGAAATATCGAAAATAAAATGCACCACATGAACTAAAAAATAAGACAGAAAATTTGTTCTGGTATTATAAACTCGGTTAGTAGCAACAAAGGTGTTTTTTCCAGCTTCTACCAGCAAAAACCAGCCAATTATGAGCTCATATATCATCCCTTTGTTTTTTTTTTTTAAATGAAAACCAGAAGCACACTCATTTCAATAGCTGTGAATTCCTTCTGTACTAAAAATTTTTTAAATTTACTTTCCCAAATACATATATCAGAAGTGTACATGTTCTCTTTTTTGAGTGTAAAATTTCAGATGTGGGGTGCTTTTTTCTATGTTAAGATATACTATGGCAAATGTGTTATTGTTGATGAAAGAACAAAATAAGTAAATTTAAAAAATGGAAATCAATGAAGGAAATGGTACAAAGACAAAGAATAAGGGAGTCATCATGAGACCAAAAATATAAGGAAATAGAGGAATCCAATAAGTGTAATGCAGGAATCATGAAATAATAATAATAAAAAAGACCCAATATCCAATTCCATTTATTCCTCCATTGGGCACAAAGCCAAGAATGTAAAACAGTAAATTTGTAAAAATATCCAAAATAAAATGTACCACAAAAAATAAGAAAGAAGACAAAAAAATGTGACCAGGAATGGGAAACTCAGTTAGTAGCAAAAGAAATGGAGTTTTCCAGTTTGTACCAGTGAAAACAGTTCCTGTAACATACATGATTTTTGTAAAAATGAAATGTGAGGCAAAGCCATTTTCAATAACTATAAATTCCTTCTGTTCAAATAAAAGTTAAAATTATACCTTTCCCAAATACATATATCAGAAGTGGAGGTGTTCTCTGTCTTTTCTGAGTATAAAATCACTGATATAGGGTGTTTTCTTTCTGTATTAACATATACTATGTCAAATGTGTTGTTGTTGATGAAATAAGTAATAAGTAAATGTAAAAAATTGGAATCAATGAAGGGAATGGTGAATAGTCAAAAGAATAAGTGAGCTGATGACAGGCAAAAATATAGAGAAATTGAGGAAACCAAATGGTGTAATGGGGGAGACATGAAATAAAAAAATATATATAAAAAACAGATGTCTAATTACATGAATTTCTCCATCAGGCACAAAGCCAAGAGTGTAACACAATAAATTTATAAAAAATATACAAAATAAAATGTACCACATAAAAAAATAAAATATGGATTGCCATAGGAAACTCAGTAGCAACAGAACTGTTTTTTTTTTCCAGGTTATAATAGCAAAAAACTGGCCAATGAACAGCTCTTCTAGCATTCTGATTTTTTAATTGGAAAATCTGAGGCAAAATAATTTTCAATAACTGTGAATTCCTTCTGTATTACAAAAGGCTTAAATTTATCTTCTCAAATACGTATACCATAAGTGGACATGCTCTCTGTCATTTTTGAGAATAAAATCTCAGCTGTGGGGTGCTTTTTTCTATATTAAGTTATACTTTTTTAAATGTGTTGTTGTTGCTGAAAGAAAAATAAAGATGTAAATTTATAAAACAGGAATCTATGATGGGAATGGTGCAGAGCCAAATGAATAAGGGAACCAGTGGGATGCCAAAAATATAAATAAAATGAGGATTCCAAATTGTGAAATGTGGGTGTCATGAAGTAATAATAATAAAACAAGACTGTCAGTGCCATTATGACATTTCTCCATTGAGATAAAGTCGAGAATATAACAGTATAAATTTACAAAAATATCCAAAATAAAATGTACCACATAAAAATAAAAAATAAGACTAAAATGTGGCCTGGTATGGGAACCTCAGCAGCAACAGAACTGGTCTTTTCCAGTTTTTACCAGCCAAAACCAGCCAATGAAGAGTTTCTCTAATTTTTTAAAAATGAAAACCTGACGTGAACTCATTTCTAACACCCACAAATTCCTTTTGTTTTAAAAAGGCTTAAGTTTTACATTACCCAAATACACATATCAGAAGTGGATGTGTTCTTTGCCTGTTTTGAGAATAAAATGTCAGATGTGGCTGCTTTTTTCTATATTATACTATGCCAAATGTGTTATTGTTGATAAAAAGAAAAATATGTAAATTAAAAAAACAGGCAACGATGAAGGTAGCCATACATAGACAAAAGAATATGGGACCCAGCATGACACCAAAAATATAAACAAAATGAGGAATCCAAATAATGATATGTGTGAGTCATGATAATAACGATAATAATAATAAAACCATACATCCACTTACATGAATTCCTCTGCAGGGTACAAAACCAAGAAAGTAAGAGTAAATTTATTTAAATATTCAAAATAAAATATTCTACACAAAATAAAATATTCAACATCACTAGCCATCAGAGAAATGCAGATCATAACCACAAAGACATATCTCCTTACCCCTGTCAGATTGGCTATTATTCAATGTCTCTGTAGTTCTGCTTTTCAAATAAATAAAGACATATATAGAGAGGGGGCAGAGAGACAGAGAGACAGAGAGATCTTCTAACTGCTGGTTCACTTCCTATGGGGCCGTATTGGCCAGGGATGGGCTATTATGCAGCTAGGAGCCAGGAACTTCATACGGTACTTCCACATGGATGCAGGGGTCCAGGTAATTGGACCATCTGCTCCTTTCCCAGTTGCAACAAAAGTGGAGCAGCCAGGATTCAAATCATTCACGTGGGATGCCAGAACTGCAGGCGGTGTTTTAACCCATTCTGCCACAATACCACCTCACTGCACCTCATTTTTAACCATGTTTAATTAGTTTATTTTCTTGCAATATAGTTGTTTGAGCTCTCTCAACAGTTGGGTCTAGACTCTTACTATTTTGTATGATTTGAAAATACCTTCCCCTCATCTATGGGTTGTTAGTTGTTTCTTCATTCTCTTTGCTTTACAGAAGCTCTGTACTTTGAAACATCAAATTTGTCTATTTTTGCTTATGTTGCCTGTACATTTGGGGGTGTAATAAAAAAATCATTGCCCAGACTTATTTCAGGATACATTTGCCCTATGTTTTCTTCCAGAAGTTTTATAGTCTCGGGTCTTATATTTAAGTTGTTCATCACTGTTTAGTTTATTTTTGTATCTGGTGTGAGATTACTGCATAATTACATCATTTTTACATACATTTTCCCTACATGATTCAATGAAGAGATGCCCATTCCCCATTCTGTGCTTTTGGCACCAATCCTGAGAATGTGTGTAATTTCTAGATCATCTGTTGTGCTCCATTGCTCTGTGGTTCTATTTGTATGTAAGAATCACGGGGTTTATTTTATTTTAAGTTTAGTGTATTTCACAGATACAGATTTAGAGAACACAGTGATACTTCCCATTCTATTCTCCCTCCCACCAACATTACAATCCTTCTTCCTCTTCCCTCTCCTGTTCCCACTCTTAAAGTTTTACAAATATCTGCTTTCAGTTTACCTAATGAATGTACAGTTAACCCTACACTAAGAATAAGAGTTTAACAAATAGTATGAAGGAAAAAAAACACTGCTCCTTAACAGAAGAGACAAGGGCTGTAAACCATCATTGACCCTCAAAATGTTCATTTCACTCCAATACATTACATTATTAGGTACTCCATCAGTTACCTCAGGTCAGGGAAAACATGTGATATCTTTTTGGGACTGTCTTATTTCACTAAGTATAATGGTTTCTAGTTGTTTCCATTTTGTTGCAAAAGACAGGATTTCATTTCTTACAGCTGAGTAGCACTCCATAGTGTATATATACCATAATTTCTTTATCCAGTCAACAGTGGATGGACATCTGGGTTGATTCCATATCTTAGCTATTGTGAACTGTGTTGCAGTGAACGTGGGGGTATAAATAACTCTTTCAGATGCTTATGTCTATTGGTTTGGGTTAATTCCCAGGAGTAGGATGGCTGGATCATGTGGTAATGTAGTAGGTCTATATTCCATTTTCTAAGATATCTGCACAATGTCTTCCACAGTGAACCACTGGTTTTTTAGGTCAGATATGTTATACCTACAGCCTTATTAGTTCTCACCAGATAGATTCAGCCACCCTCAGATCTTGCTTTTTCCATTTGAATTTTAAGATTTTTCTTCCTATTTCTCTGGAGAATGCCATTGATATTTGCTTGGGGTAAGCACTGAATCTGTACATCACATGGCAGTGGATATTTTAACATTAATTCTTTAAATCAAAGAATATGAATTTCTTTCTAATTTGGATGTTTTCTTAAACTTCTTGCATCACTTTTATAATTTTCATGTAGACATAATTTACTACCTTAATTAAATTTACTTGAGGGAATTTTATGGTTTTTTAGGTTACTGACAATACAATCTATTTTTAAATTTTTCTCTGAGCTTGCTATCAGTGGATAAACATGCTACTGAGTTTTCTTGTTGATTTGCATGCTGTGTGGTTATGGAATGTGTATGTCAGTTACAAATGACTGTGTGGAGTCTATAAGGTTTTCTATATATAAATCATGTCATGTGAAAATCTGACTTTCTCCTTCCTCTTTTGGATACTATTTCTCTTGTCTCTTTTGGGAAAGGGGTTACCAATTATAGTTAGGCAGAGTTTGTTTAAGTACTCAAACCATGATAAATTAACCTTATTAGTGGCCAGCACTGTGGCATGTTGGGTAAAGCCACTGCCTGTAGTACTGGCATCCCATTTGGGCACCGGTTCAAGTCCTGGCTGCTCCACAACCAATCCAGCTCTCTGCTATGACCTGGGAAAAAGCAGAAGATGGCCCAAGTTCTTGGACCTCTGAACCCACTTGGGGGACCTGGAAGAAGCTCCTGGCTCCCAGCTTCAATCAGTACAGCTCCAGCCATTGCGGCCAACTGGGGAGTGAACCAGCAGATGGAAGACCTCTCTCTCTTTCTCGCTCGCTCTCCCCCCCCCGCCCCATGTAACTCTGATTTTCAAATAAATAAATAAATCTTTAAAAAATTAACCTTAATCTGCAACAATTTATGACTCAATCCAAAAGAAGAATATCCATTGGCCAGTGCTGCCATGTAGTAGGCTAAGCCTCTGACTGCTGTACCAGCATCTCATATGAGCACTGGTTTGTGTCCCAGCTGCTCCTCTTGTGCTCTAGCTCCCTGCTGATGGCCTGGGAAAGCAATGGAAAATGGCCCAAGTGCTTGGGTCTTGCACCCACCTGGGAGACTCAGAAGAAGCTACTGGCTCCTGGCTTCGGATTGGCCCAGCTCTGGCCATTGTGGCCATTTTGGGAGTGAACCAGTGGATAGGAGACCTTTCTCTCTCTCTCTCTGTTTGTAACTCTACTTCTCAAATAAATAAAATCTTTAAAAAAGAAGAATATCCAAAATATCCCAACAAAAAGAACTGATAAATGTTTGAGAACATGAAGGAGCCATCACTCAGATATCCTCATTACATGTTTCATATATGTATGAGGTTATTGTACTGTTCATTATGTGTCCAAACATTGAGTATCAATTACCTAGGAGAGAACACTGTTCATATGCTATTTGATGAAATTCCAGAACAAGAAAATTAATGTGCAGTGACCTAAAAGAAAGGCAACTCATAACTGGCAATCAGATGGAAGGAAGGGATGTGTGGAGGATTACAGAAGACCATGGAACACATTAGTATAAAAATTAGCTCATTACTTTTGACTGTGATTGTGCAGTGAGCAGGGATGTTAACACTTACTAGACATACACTAGTATGTATATTGTAGTTCAGTCAGAATGTGAATAAATTCAGACAGTGAATAAATGGAGGAAGAATGATAGCTAACATCGCATACAATAGGAAACACTCATCAAAATTCAGCATCAAGAACCTGGTTCTTTTTTTTTTTTTTTTTTTTTTTTTTTTTGACAGGCAGAGTGGACAGTGAGAGAGAAAGGTCTTCCTTTGCCGTTGGTTCACCCTCCAATGGCCGCCGCTGCAGCCGGCGCACCGCGCTGATCCGATGGCAGGAGCCAGGATCCAGGTGCTTTTTCCTGGTCTCCCATGGGGTGCAGGGCCCAAGCACCTGGGCCATCCTCCACTGCACTCCCTGGCCATAGCAGAGAGCTGGCCTGGAAGAGGGGCAACCGGGACAGAATCCGGCGCCCCGACCGGGACTAGAACCCGGTGTGCCGGCGCCGCAAGGTGGAGGATTAGCCTATTGAGCCACGGCGCCGGCCAAGAACCTGGTTCTTTAAACTTTGTTCAAATAGAACCAGAAATGCAGCAAAAGCACACCCATTGTCTCACATGAAGTTCTGCAACACACTCAGAGCACCCAAATCTGTCCTGGAGATCTTACAGGGAACAGATTGGTCTTATGGTGAGGAACACAGATCTACATTTGGAGATGTCTCTTACCAGACAAGAGCTCCTGGACACACAACATGGCCTAGTAAGGATTCCTTTAGTAATTGTGTGTATGTTCAAAGGAGTTAGCATTCATGCTAAAATCATGTGTCGTGTACTAGTGAAAAAGCATTATAAGGGTCAAGTGGTGCTGCACCGTGAGTTCAGGCATTACTGGGATCCCCAAATCCCATATCACAGAGGGCTGCTTCCTCCACTCCAAATCTTGTTTCCTCCTTATGTACTAGGAAAGGCAGTGGATGCTGGCCCAAGGGCATGGACCCATAGCACCCATGTGAACAACCTGAGGGGAGTTCTGGGCTGCTGGCCGTGGCCTGGCCCGGTGCTAGTCGTTGAGGTTATCTGAAGAGCATATCAGCGACTGGAAGTTCTTCCTCCCTCTCTCTCATTGTCTATGTACTATGCCCTTCAAAAATATGATTATTTATATTTTAGATTCAATGATCTTTAACATCTAGCCATTTCACTTCCTGGGTAGGTATTACATACATACACATCCTCTCACCTAGTGGGATTCATGACAATGGTCAGAAAGGAAAGAAGAGCACATTGTCATGCAGATGGTTTGATTCAGTGAAGACAATATTTACAACTGCGTATATAGCAACTAAAATACATAGCTCCGTGCCAGCGCTCACTCAGCCTGGCACCCGCAGTCCCCCTGCCTGCACTTACTTGGCCTGTGACCTAAGTACCACGTGGGAAACACAGGCCCTGTTCCCGCGCTCACTCAGCCTGGAACCCAGTGTGCCCGCGCTCACGCGGGAAACGCAGCCCCGGTGCCCACGCCCAGTCAGCCTGCCACCAGCAGCCCCATGCAGGACACACAGGCCCCATACCCACGCTCACTCGGCCTGGCACCCGCAGACGCACGCGGGGCACACGGCCTGGCAACCACAGCTCTTCGCAGGACACACAGGCCCCAGGCCCGCGCTCACTCGGCCAGGCACCCGCCCCCCACGCGGGACACATAGCGCCTGGGAAGCGGAGTATTCGCGGGACCGCGCCGGCCCCTATGCGCCTGCACTAACCGGGATAAGTGGCGGAGTCTCTTGGAGCTTGGAGGCTAGAGGGTGGCTTGCGGAGCCGAGAATCAAGAGAGGATAGTCCGAATATACCACTTTCTGCTTATGGACCACAGTTCCCACAAGAGAGCAGCTCAGATTATCCTCACAGGCTACTCAACCAGGCCTCTTCCGGGCCCTGGCCCTGGCAGCGCAGAGGAGCGCGGGATTGAAGCCTTTCCCCCGCGCCTGCGCAGTCGCCTTCAAGAAGGCAGGCTCCAGAATCCTGCGTAGGTGAGGACCACTGCAGTCAGTCTGGCCCGGCAGAGGCCCATGCCTTTGAGGGCAAAGGAGCGTTGGATCGGCCAGGGTTGGGGAAAGCGGGCCTGGGATTTTAGGCTGAGTTTCCCGCAAGCTTGTGAGGCCATAACGCTGAGGGGTGGCTTTGCGGGTGCAGCCTGGCGGGCAACCCCAGATCCCGAGGCTCCGCACCCCTCTGTCTCATTTGCGCCACCTTTAGGACCCGCTGTAGACTAAGGATCCAGAGGGAAAGCAGAAGTGGCGTCCTACAATGAAAGCCCTCGCAAAAACGCCAGGACTTAGATGCGGGGTGGGTCTCTGCGCTGAGTGTTGAGGGCTAGGTTAGCTTAAAATTAATATCCTGGAGTAGCTCAGTTCACAATAGCTAAGATATGGAATTAATCTGTCAACTGAAGATTGGATAAGGAAATAATTGGATATACACACCTGGAATACCACATAGCAGTAAAAAAAAAAAAAGAAAGAAAGAAAAATCCTGTCATTTGCAACAAAATGGATGAAACTAGAAAACATCATATTCGTGAAATAAGCCAGTCTTAAAGGGGCAAATACCACATGTTCTCCCTGATCTGTGATAACTAATAGAGCACCTAAAAGAATCTGTAGAGGTGAAACTGACACTTTGAGAAGCAATCAGCTGAACAGCATTGTCTCCACTGTTGAGGAACTTTTTTTTTTTTTATTTCATATAATTTGTTGAACTCTTAATATAAAGTTAATCATGTGTTCAAAGTCAATTGACAATAGATCTTAGTAAAAAAAAAAAAAAAAAAGAATGGGAATAGGAGTGGGAGGAGCAAGAGAGATGGGAGTGTGTGTGGAAGGAATTGCCATGTTCCTAAAGTTGAATTTATGAAGTGTGTGAAGTTTATATGCCTTAAATAAAAGGTTTCTCTGGGAAAAAACAAGTAGAAGACTACAAAAAAAAAAAAAGTGCCAGTGGCCATTTGTACTTGAAACGATTTAAAAAAATTAATAGATTGGGGTTTTATTTTTTAGTTAGAAAGTCCTAAGCACAGGCTCAAACACTGCGTGTAGTATGGTAAGGTTTAAGTTTATTTAGAAAGTGGGAAGAACACCAGAGACATGAGGGCCTTATTCAGGGAGAGCAGACCAGAAAGGGTAGCTGGGGAGCTCCATAAGCCATGGTTGCAGGGGTCCAGGAGGAGAGAGGGAGCAGGTCAGAGATCCGGCCAGTGAGACACGGCCCAGCCCTGCAGCCTCCCAGCCTCACTTTGGCTTGAAAGCAGGGTGGATACAGGTGGGAGTACGTGGAGGCAGGGGAAGTGTGGCCTGCAGCTCATGGACCTAATCTATCTCCCTGACCAGTCCCATAGCGAGAGGAGCGCGGCTGGCTTCTTGGGGAGAGGGGATATGGAACACGCTCAGGTATGGAACACTCTAAGCCCATCTGATGACGGCAGATTCGTGCCTCCAGTGGGACCAGCTGGGGCCGGGCCAGAAAAGCCTCACGTGTCTTGAACCCTGCTTGCTTCCCCTGCTTGCAGGTGGCCAGAGAACGAAGTCCCCTGATGCAGAAGGAACCGCGGCCACACCTCTCTCAGCTGTCCCGAGTGGGTTATGTTGTCTGCTTCTACGAGATGC